ATTTATAATATTCTCTAACAATTACTTAATATGAAAAAAAAATGATCAAAGTTCAGGCGAAGCAGGATAGGTGTTACATTATCATTACAATAAAGTCTGTATATCCCAACAAGAAAAAATCATTACAGTCTTTGTCATATTGAAGCAATATTAGTTGAACGATCTCGTAATAAAAAATAATCAATGGGGGTTTCGAAGCTCAATTTTGATGCATGGGTGAGAGGGGATGATCTATGTTGAGCAGGCACGCGATTTGCAGGGGATGTTAGTTGGCAATGCAACTTGGACCCTTCCTAACGGCATAGGTCCAAAGTTGGCTGAAGTTTTTGCTACTAACCTGGTACTTCTATGGATTTGGATTCTTTAATATGAAAAAAGTAGTTATATGATCATGTTATTTGATCGCATTCATTTATTTAAAAATCATATATTTTTCTCTCTTATCTCATCGTCAATGAGTGATTGTGACCAAATAACATGAACACCTCCAAATCTTATTTTTTTGACTTTAATTTAGTTGGACATTGTGGTTTTTTGGGCTGCCCTGCTATTTCAGGTCCTTTTCAGGTAAACAGAGTGGCCCAGCATGCTTTGTCTCAACACCGTTCTTGGATTGATGATTTTCTATAGTTTATTTTCAGGTAATAGAGTGGCCCATGCTTTGGCACAACATTTACAATTTTTTTTTTGGTAAGCATAAGGGACCGGAAGCCACAAGAAAAAAAAAATTACACAGAAATATCAGAAGTAGACAAAACTAAATTACTACAATCAGCTTCAAATAGCTGCAACAGTTCTTTAGGACGGTGCATGAGTACTTGGAGACCAGAAACTCCTCCAAGTGCAGCCTTTGTGAGCCAATTTGCGCAAGCATTATTCTCTCTTGTGGTATAGTTAAACTTGACCTCCCAATCTCTTGTGACCCACCTTTTGATTCTACACAATTTTTTTATTATTGAAGTAAAATTTAACGATGGTGTTCATTCAAAATTTTGCAAATTAACCACAAAGTTATTTCCAATTACTAATTACAATGAGGTGACATTTTAATTTTTTTAATAAATCATCCGTGAATTAAATCGGATTAACCTTGATAGAACTACAAGGGATAAAGCTATTCGTATCAAATTTTTAACATATATACGTATTGGTACTCGAACTCGAGATCACCATTAATTTAATTACAAAGTGTCACATTTCATATTTAACGCAAACCAAGAAACTCTCGTATTTAATATTCCTAAAAATTTCTGACGTTTTTTGGTTTTGGCCCACCCACACATGTTGATGTTCATGGAAAATATAGATTGTAGATGCAAGGAAAGAGGGATATTGGAAAGAAAGATAGAAAGAAAGAAACGAAGAATGTGGTATCGAGACTTTCAACACTCTATTTATTTAGAAACCAATGGATGATTATAATATGTTTTACTGTTAGAGAGTTAGGTAAAAAGTATGGGAAATATTACTCTCCTTCAACATGAGATATCATCTCTCATTTTCTCTCCTTTCGATTTTCGTGCCCCATCTTTTTTTTTTCTTTTTTTTTTTTGTAATGGTGGGACCCACCTATTTTCTCTCTACAACATAAGATATCTATCTTATGTTGAATGAGAGTAATAAAACCCAAAAAGTATTTGGCGCGGTCAACATCTTCCAGCACTCATTGACGAAGAGTCCACTGCACATCCTCTCCCTCTCCCTTTGAGAAAATCCATTTAAATATTGAAATATTTAGCGAGAGTGATCATAAAACTGTAATGCCTCCAATAAGCTGAATTTGTGGTAAGAATTTTCAAACTCTGGCCCCTCTTCCCTCTTTCTCGATGTAACTTTGTTTTTACTTAAACTCTTGTCTCGAAAACAAAAGTTGGTGTAGTTAAAGTCTGATTACCTAAAATCGATGTTGGATACGATGTAAACTTAACTGTTCAATATTTCAGCAGGGATATTTTATATAAACATATTTTAAACTGAAATTTCAAATTTCACACATTTTCATTGTATTAAAGTTATATTTTGATTTGTACAGTTTCTCATTAAAACAATATTGTCTCTAAATGTTGAATTTTTTTTTTTTTTAAAATTAACATTCAATCATATATATCATAATATTGAAATAAAAGTTAGTGAAACTAAATAATTAATCCTACAATTTCATTTATGCTTTTTCAATATCAGTCTTTATATTTTTAAGTTTTTTATTTTCAATCCTAGTGTTAAGATATTAATTTTATATTTTTTTTATTTAAATTTTATATTTTGCAGGGGTTTTACCCATTAAATTATTAATTTATTTATTTTTAATAAAACATTATTTATTATAATTTTGAATTGTTAAAGTCTATTGGCCGCCAAGGAACTAATATTTAAATATGTGAAACTATCTGAATTTTTTTAAAAGATTGTATAGTAACCTAAATCTATATCGAGGGAAGCCATGGAAACTAACTGTTTATTTTAACAAAAAACAACAACTTACAAAACATTTAATATTAATGATGAGATAAAACAAGGGTTTTATGTTTATCATTTAACATATATAACTTCACTTTCCTACACACACATTAAAGAGGTGAGATCCACATGTTTTTCTTTCTCTTTCATCATTCTACTTTCTCTCTCCCTTTTGATGTGAGAGTTGGAAACAACACTTACATAATAAAACCCATAAAACAATAAGACAATCGCTGAATATAATTTTTTCCAGAAATTCTCAGCCTATGGGCTCTGCTCTAACCCTGCTAGGAGAGCGGTGTTTAACCTCATCTAAAATTTTTAATACCAAATCTCTAGCTCAGTTGGTCAGTGGACTGCAGTTCGAGGGATTGAATTCTTGTGGCCGACGAGGTCACGTGTTCGATGACTAGGAGAAGCATTTTGGAGCCAGTAGTGAATCCTAAACACTACAAGCCATGGAGAGATTAATCCTATTCTTCGGAGTGGGGACACCCTTGAGTCTCTGCTCAAAAGAAAAAAAAATTCTAATACCAAAATAATAATAATAAGACGATAAGTTTTACGCCCCACAATAGATGAGAATTAAATTTACAAATGCGTGTAATGACCGGGGAATTCATATTTTATGATCATTTCGTTGGCAATCATAAGAAGACAATTCCCTTTGAATATAGCTATTTGTGCAATTATTTTACGATTAAGAAGTAATTGTCCCTTGTACAGATTATACATTAAATGACTATAAATATTGTATATATCTTTTTTTTTCTCGCCAATTACTGCATTTATTCGACTCTGTTTCTTTTGTAATAGAAAGGTCACTGTTGTCTCAACAATAAAGGTTGGTGTTCTGATGACCTAATGTCGACGTTAGATGAGATGTTGACATAAATTAACTGTTCAATATTTTAGCAGGGTAATTTTATATAAACGTATTTTACATTAAAAATTTACAAATGTTCATCGTATTAAACTTACCAGCTTTTTTCTTTTTTAATTAAAAGTTATCTTTTAATTTAAGAAAAAATATTTTTGCTTTTACTGCAAAAAAAAAAAAATTATCTATCATACTTACATAAAAGTGAGTAAATCCTATTATAAAAAAAAAAAAAAAAATTAGTGTGATCTACTAACCTTTATATGAGTATAATGGATAAATTTTTTCTACTGTAAAAGGCAGAACTATTAAACCCTTTGATTTATACAGATTTTTCAGAGAAACAATTTTGTATTCACAGGTAAAATTTATACTTTTTTAACATTAATATTCAATTATATATACCATATTATTGAAAAAAGTTGACCTGGATAGTTAATCTTTATAACTTCGCTCGATTTGAATATTGATTTCTATAGTTTATAATTTTAGATTCAATTTTTATATTTCTAACTTATTTGAGTTTTAAACTTTATAGTGTTTACTCAGTTAGGTGTTATTTCATATTTTTCATAAAGTATTTATCCTTATAATTTTGAATTATGAAAATATTGGTCATTAAGAGAATAAAATTTAAATGAACAAAATTATAGAAACTAATATCTAAAAAATAAATAAGAGGGGCCTAAATTCAAATAGGGTAAAATTATAAGAAGTGTTTACAAAAAAAATAAAAAATTATAAGAAATAATTATTTATTGTAAGGTTATGCATAAATTTAAAAAATAGCTTTAACTACAAGAAAGTATTTTATTAAAATACTTACAACATTATCAATTTATTAATAATTTTTTGTATTTATTTAATAAAGATAAAAAGATTTATTAAATTTTTAAAGTGGCTAAATTGAAACCAAACAAATATTCTAAAAAAAAAGACTTATATTTTGAAAAAGGGAAATTATTTAATTGACACTTGAATTTCCAACAAAGTGCCACAGTGGGTCAAGAGGACTAAACATTAGGAGTTCCATTTCATGTGACTTTAAAGAAAGAAAACAGGCCCCTCAAGTTATACCTGCTCCCAATTAGAGAATTCTTTTGAGTCATCAACATAAGGTTTTGAGAACACTGAGATTAAAAAGAACTGAGGTTTTCTTTGTAAGTAGTTAACCTGAAGGATCAAAATAATAATGGAGAAAACACAGCTCGCCCTTTTATTTCTTGCTACTTGTTGCCATTTGATATCCCTTTTTCCAATAGTTTTAGAAGCAGAAGATAGCATAATTCCACTACAAGTCATCAGTGGCAACCAGACACTAGTTTCACCTGCCCAAAATTTTGAACTTGGTTTCTTCAGTCCTGGAAATTCCACTCACAAATATCTTGGAATATGGTACAAGCATATTCCAAAACAAACTGTTATTTGGGTTGCAAATAAAGAAAAACCACTAGTTCATTCTGGTGGCTCCTTAACATTCAGTAATGATGGGAATCTGATCCTTCTCAGCCACACAGGAAGTGTTGTGTGGTCCTCAAATTCTTCTGGACCTGCAAGAAACCCAGTAGCACAGCTTCTAGACTCTGGAAACTTTGTTTTGAAGGACTTTGGAAATGGAAGCTCTGAGGGATATTTGTGGCAGAGTTTTGATTATCCATCTGATACATTGCTACCAGGAATGAAGCTTGGTTGGAACTTCAAAACTGGTTTGAACCGGCATTTGACTTCTTGGAAAAGCACTGATGATCCGTCTTCAGGAGAATATACCTACAGTGTGGATCCACATGGCCTTCCTCAGCTTTTTCTTCACAAGGGGAACAAGAAGGTCTTCAGAAGTGGACCATGGTATGGACAACAATTTAAAGGTGACCCAGTTCTCAGGGAAAATCCAGTTTTCAAACCCATATTTGTTTTTGATTTTGATGAAGTGTCTTACTCTTATGAGACTAAAGACAACATCATTTCAAGATTTGTGCTTAGTCAATCTGGTTTGATTCAGCACTTCTCATGGAATGATCATCATTCAAGTTGGTTCTCTGAATTCACAATTCAAGGTGATCGTTGTGATGATTATGGCCTTTGTGGTGCTTATGGCACCTGTAACATCAAAAGCTCCCCGGTTTGCAAGTGTTTGAACGGTTTTGAGCCTAGGCTTCAACAAGAATGGAGAATGCTTAAGTGGTCTGGTGGATGTGTCAGCAAGAATTCACAGGTTTGCAGAAATGGAGATGCATTCAAACAGTTTACAGGAATGAAACTACCAGATGCTGCTGAGTTTCATACAAACTATAGCATCAGCATTGATCACTGTGAGGCAGAATGCTCCAAGAACTGCTCTTGTGTAGCTTATGCTAAACTAGATATAAACGCAAGTGGCAAAGGCTGCATTGCTTGGTTTGGTGATCTATTTGATATAAGAGAGGTTTCTGTGAATGGTCAAGATTTCTACGTGAGAGTTCCAGTCTCAGAACTAGGTAAGAAAATTAAAGGTGTATATATATATAGGTTTACATTTATGCAGCTGCTGCATATGCAGTAATCAAATACTTGTCATATATATATATATGAAAACATTAAATGCGGGGAATCATAAACATACAAAGGATGAAAGCATTAAATGTAAGGAATCATAACCATACACCTGTCGTTGCTGTACGTAAAGCGGCTACAGAAATGATTTTACCATATATATATATATATATATATATAGACACACACACTACCAATCCTTTTCATGTTCTAGTCCTATTTTAGCTGTTAACTTCAGAAATCTGGCTCACTTGATTTTGAATAAGCTAACTAGTACACTTGTCTCCGCTATGATGTAATTAAGGTTAGCATTATGTTTCACCCTGTCCACTTTTAATATGGCGTAATAGTGCATTTATCACATTACAGATTATTTGTTTCTCAATAATTAATATAATCACGATTTTCCTTAAAATACATTTATATGTATTGCATGTAATCTCTTTATTTGTGATGTTAGATTCAAATGTTGACGGGAACAAAAGGAAGAAACTCATACTGCTTCCTGTGACTGTATCGGTAACCTCAACAATTATTGTCTCAGCATTATGGTTGATAATTAAGAAATGGAGAAGAAATGGAGGTAAAAATATCTCGTAGTTCTAGTTTCAGAAGATCTCATGTACTTTTTGAACCATAATCTCTTTTGATTAATATTACTGATTAAACCTTGGATCTTTGCCTCTGTAAGCAGCCAGAGAGACAGATTTTCAATTGAGTGCTGGCAGAGCTAGAAGTGAGAGGAATGAATTTGAACTCCCATCATTTGAGATTGCCATAATTGAAGCCGCCACTGGGAATTTCTCTATTTACAATAAGATTGGAGAAGGTGGATTTGGTCCTGTATATAAAGTAAATTACTCTCTATCTTTCTGGTTAATTATAAAGAAAATGATAATTCAAACCATGTCACATATTAGTCTCTTAACAACAGTCCAGCTCCTGCAAATTGCATGGTAGGAAAATGCTCAACAACAACCATTTATTTAATCTAAAATTTTTAGCTTCAAGTTTTATTTCTTTTCAACCCATTTTTAAATTGCATGTAGGACAATTAACTCTATCATTTCTTTTCAACCCAGTTTTACAACAACGATGATAGTATTTTGGATCTTTTGGAATTTTCAGGGTCAACTTCCATCAGGAAGGGAAATAGCAGTGAAAAGGCTCTCAGAGAGTTCCGGACAAGGCCTGCAGGAGTTCAAGAATGAGGTTATGTTAATCTCCCAACTTCAGCATCGAAATCTTGTCAAGCTTCTGGGTTGTTGCATTCATGGAGAAGATAAAATGTTGGTCTATGAATACATGCCAAACAGAAGCTTGGACTCCTTATTATTTGGTTGGTCTCTCAACTATTCCACAATCACATCTATGCCTATAGACACAAACCTTAACATTGTTTGAGAAAACATGTTTCACTTAATCATAATATATTGTATAACTCAAGTAATATTCTGAATCAGATGAAACAAAGCGTTCTGTTCTCAGTTGGCAAAGGAGGCTGGACATTATTACTGGCATTGCTAGGGGACTTGTCTACCTTCACAGAGATTCAAGACTAAGAATAATCCATAGAGACCTGAAAGCAAGCAATGTTCTTTTAGATAGTGAAATGAACCCAAAAATTTCAGACTTTGGAATGGCAAGAATGTTTGGTGGAGATCAAACTGAAGCAAAGACCAAGAGAGTAGTTGGAACCTAGTATGCACAAAAACAAATGATTTAACTTCCACAATTTTCTGAACTTAACTGCTAACTTCATTTTATGATATGCAATTGTTACAGTGGATATATGCCCCCAGAGTATGCAATAGATGGACACTTCTCTTTCAAATCGGATGTTTTTAGCTTTGGGGTGTTACTCTTGGAGCTGTTGAGCGGCAAGAAAAACAAAGGATTTCTTCACCCGGATCACAAACTGAATCTCCTAGGCCATGTGAGTATAACAGTGAATATGTATCTTTTATTTTATTTTTTTCTTCCCTAACAGTGTGTCTGATATAATCAATTAGCAAAATTACAATCTCATTAAATGGATAGCTTGGATTTTATGCATTGATAAAATACATGGGAAATGTACTAGGCATGGAAGCTTTGTAATGAAGGTAGGGACTTGGAGCTGATGGATCCGTTGCTCGAGAATGAGTTCCCAACTTCAGGAGTTCAAAGGTGTATTCAAGTGGGTCTTTTATGCGTTCAACAGCTCCCAGAAGAGAGGCCAACAATGCCATCAGTGCTATTGATGTTGGAGAGTGAGAGTGTGTTGCTACCCAAACCTGGAAGACCAGGATTATATTCTGAGAGATGTTTCTCGGAGACAGATTCATCATCACGTGGTAGACTAAATTCAGGTTCTAATGACTTGACTGTTACTTTAGTAGAGGGTCGTTAGGACATGACATGTGGAACTATGAAGCACCGACTCCGAAACGGCATTTTCGATACGTTCTTGATACGACCATTAATTCGTCGATACGATACAATTCGTTTCCGATACATTTCTGATACGCGTATCGGATACATTGGAAAAAAAAATTCAGAGTATCGATGCTTTATAGATGTGGAATATAAATATGCACGAAATTCTGTATTCTGATTCAAAATTAAACATGATACTGGGAATCATGCTTAGACTTGGTTTAATTGTAAGCTGATCCGGGTGATGAGAATGCCACTAAAAATGTTTTTCTTTTTATTGTTCTTATTATTATTAAATGTATGATCAATTTCACAAACTCATTGTCGAGACTAGGTACTTGATTAGTTCATCACTCCCTTCCAAAGGGAAACAAACAACGTTAAAGATAAGCTAACTCAAATCTGTTCAATTCTTCGGCAACTGTACAAAGGTCCAGAAGATAGAAACAGTTCAAAAATAAAATATAGAATTGTTCATCAAAATTTACATTAAAGTTAGATAGAAATACTAATAATGATTATAGAAGATGCATGTCATAATTTTTCCAATCTAACGTCTAGCAGAGCTGTCAACGACTACTGAAGGAAAATCTCCATATACATGAGTTGACCACAACTATCAGTGCTCGCTAAAACAAAGCCCGAGGCCCATTAACTTGTTGGGCTCTAGCCCAGTTTTCTTCAAACAAGCAGTGTTGACTTGGAATCAAATTCTCAACACAAGGCCAGCATGTTCTTTGGGCTTGCATACATCTTTGGGCTTGGTAACTCTGTCATGTATAGGAATTCTCTTGAATAATATCTAATGGTAGAACATCGAATTTGATTATCCCTTAACAATTTGGAAATGGATCCTGTGTATGCTATTTAATATGATCATGTCATGGGAAATAATTTTAATCATTAATAATCAAATCAACGGTGATAATTGTATAACTTTATATTCTTATATTTTTTCTTTCTTTCATTATCACAATTGATCCATCTTTGTATGGTTGGATACTTCCACATAACATAGTCATATTAATTGACACATGAGATGATCCACTTCCAAACAATTTTGATTGCATTTGGAGAAATAATATGCAGGTGAACGGTAGCGAAAATAGAATTGAATAATAATGATATCACTCTTATATTTGAATATCCTAAAAAAAACAGCAGCAGCTTCATTTGACTGCTAGCTACTAAGCTAAAAGGTGATGTAGTGCTTAAGGAAAGACTGTTCAATCTCCTACATCTGTTTTTGGACTTCAGATGCAGGCAAAATCAAGTTAACGAAGAATTATGGCATGTGTACCTACTGAAAGAAAATTAAGATCCGTTTGCATATCAGTGAAGCTTTTTCCATGACTTGACCGTGCCCATGACAGTTTTCCACACGCATGATCACAGATTCACAAGTCACAAAACTATAGAGAGATGAAGGTCAAACATATAGGGGTGTAAATGAGTTAGGCAGCCTATGGGAGCTTACGGCCTAGTTTATATTACAAATAATAAAATAGAATATGTCTAGATTTTTAAAAAAATTATTTAAAAAATAGGTCATATGCTTTTTTATACATATCGAAATTATAAGCCTACAGGCCGACCTATACCATATTATTTATTTAAATAAAATAATTATTTTAATAATTTTGAATAATAAAATAATATTATTTTAATTATTAAATGTTTAATAGGCTGTCAAAGTTTTTTTTTAAAATATACATCAGGCCAGACTTATAATTTGAGATTTACACAGACTACCAGGTCAGGTCAGGTCAGATTCAATATTTTTTATACAAACTTGACTTATTTAAACCAAAATCTAACTTAGCCTACTTACATCCCTATAAACAGGGTTATTTAAATGACCTCCAAGCGATTTCAGTGCTTGTTCAAATTAACAGCCAATGATTGAATACATTGGGAACACAATCTTTTCTGCATAAAGAAGAGATGGTTTTCTGTATATATGTAGTAACTATATTTGTCATTCAACAAGTAACATCTAGATAAAAAAAATATTTTTCTTTTTTTTTCGGACACACATAATAATTTTTCCTCAATTTTTTTTAGCTAAATGTACTAAGAAAATGAGTAATAGTGTAAATATTTTCCACAATGAGATACTTCCTTTTTGGTGGAGACTTGTATTTATTGGAAAGTTTGTGTGATTTCTAAGAGGGCGTTTGGTACGCAGTATTCTTCAGGATTTTCAGGAAACTGAATTTTTCTAAATTTTAAATTTTTGGATATTATCATAAACTAAATGTAAAAATTATATTTTTAAAAATTGAGATTCTCGAATAAAAAAAAAAATTCCTCTACCAAACGTTCCATAAAGCAACACTGACACGCATAAGACCTAGTCAAGCTTAAACCATATTTATTAAATAAATTAGGCGAAGACTTTTTTAAAAGTGTATTTAATTAAAAATACCAGACTTTTAAGTTTTTTAAAATGTCTTTTATATTTTTATTTAAGTTTATAATATAATGTCTAGAAAACATATATTTAATGAACTATTTAAATCCATAAACATGTTAGTCAAAAAACAGGCTTGTAGCCGGGGGGAAATCCATAAACATGTTAGTCAAAAAGCAGGCTTGTAGCCGGGGGGGATCATAGTACAAATCAAAAATATCACTTTTAAACTATAACATAAGATAAAAAGCTTTACTTCTCTCGTGTTATAGAAAATAAGTTATTTTATGTTATGAGATAAATTAAATGGGGTTCATCAATTTAAAAAAAGAAAAAAAGAAAAAAGTGAGACATATCTTTTTATGTGAGTGTAACATGAAAGATGAATCTTATGTAATATAATAGTATAATTTCCCTAAGATAAAAGCAGTGTTTAAAAACCCGGCTCGGCCATCGACCCGGCCGAGGTCAGGGGTCATGGGTTCAACCGTGGAGTCACGGGGTCACTACGCTAACCGGGTTTTATATATTAAAAATCACAAATATATATCCTATATGAAAATATTAAAAAACAAACTACCAATCATCAAAGATTCAAAATATACTTAACATAATTCACCAATGATAATCACAAGTTAATATTACACAACCTAATTAAAGTATCAAGATAGTAAAGTACAAAACTCATATTCTAATGGGGTCACTACGCTGACCCGGTTCTGCCTCTTTTGAAAAGGTTCTGACAAAGGAAAATTTAAAAGAAGTAAGAATGAGCTTTTCTTTTCTATCGACGACCATAAGGATGTCATTTGAATGAGTAAAAATTTTACCTTTTCTAGAAGATTCACGGTTGCTAGGTGAAGATTGAAGACGTCCAGTCGCTGGGAGAGAAGAGAACGATTAGATTTAGGTTTGCAAGCATTTTTATTTTATTTTATTTTATAAAATGACGTTATTTCATGGAATTTTTAAAATATATATATATACAATGATCCCCTTTGACCCCTCTGACCCGGGAGTCACTGAAATCCGACTGAGTTTTGGGAGTCGGAGGAGTCGATGTGCATATAAAATTCTTGTGACCCCAACCCTCAGAGGAGAGGGGTCAAGGTTGACTCGGGTCAACCCGAGAGATGAGGTGGGGTTTTAGAACACCATATAAAAGCCCAAATTAGTTCCCTTTCACGGTTATATACGGCTCCAAACAGCTATATACGTGCAGTGGCGGAACTTGAGATAAAACTTTGAACAGGCAAAGGTTTTAACTAAATGATGCAAATATTTTTATTTATATTTTGGTAAACTAAATGATGCAAATCTACTTAGACACTGCTGGGTTGCAATGAAACAAATTTGAGATAATTAATTAGTGACTAAATGGAACACATTATATTTTGATTTAGGAGAATAAAATTACTTATATATCCAATAACAGTATTAAAAAAAAGATTAAACAATAGAATGATCTACACAGTAATTAAGCAATAATAGTGTAATGAAAAATGGGGAAAAAGAAGAAGCAAATAGTACTTCTTTCACGCTCCTGTCCTCTATGACAAATACAAACAATTAACAAATCATATTCCTGCGTCCTTCTTTTTTTTCCCCTACAGAGTACGTGTTTTCCTTTTGATTACCTCTCTGAGGCAGAGATTTCAGGGCCATTCTCAGCCATTCAAAGTTTAAACAATGCACACGCTTTCTGTTTTGATCCCTTTTGTCAAACAGTTTCAAGTCATCATTTTACATACAGCTGTCGCTCTATGATTGTACGGAACCTCGTGCCCTTCACTTTTGTTGGCTTGCTAGGGTCCCAGTCTCTTTCCCCTCACGCTAATATTATTATAGTTCAAGATAATGCTCATCCAACACTTTTCTATGCATGGATACTCGCACCAGCACGCTTCTTCTATTTATTGGGTTTGGCTTCTAAGCACTTCTCCTCTAACTTGTTCAATTTCAAGTTGAAAAAAACAAAAAAAATACACCTGTTCCTGAAATTGGTTGTGCATACGGATTTGTATACATTATATTTACACAATCTTTAAAAAGGAGAGGTTATACTTACAAATTGAGATAAATCTTCTTAAGATAACCTAAAGAAAGATGTCCAAAGGCGTTGGTGCCATAACAAAATCTGTGTTTGGTCACTAGTGCTTCGATGGGTCTGAAGTGCAGGTCAGAATTGTCTATCATCATCCGTGGTCAAGTCCAAGGAGTAAAAATTGTCTCGTTTAACACCATAACAAGAGTCTTCCGGGTCATAATGTTCTAAAACACACAAAAGGAAGGCCAAAAAATCACATTACAATGAAAAGATTGAGGTAGTGTTTGATTCGGGAGAAATTTTTTTATTAAGGAAATGGTTGGAAAGTGAGTTTGGTAGGAAAATGTAAAAAAAGTTGTTTAGTTGACCCAAATATTACCAGAGAAATTTATTTAAATATGCAAAATCTATGTTCGGGAGAAACTTTGCACTTATTTTTTCACTTCCTCAGTTATCTCAAAATACCACATCTCAAGTGGTATTCTGTAATAGTGAATTTCATCCAAAAGTCATT